TGTTGTTAGTGTTTGTGTAGGATGCTGTTGTTAGTGTTGTTAGTGTGAGTGTAGGATGCTGGATTGATCTCTGGGGCACAGTGTGACGAAGAATTGATTTTTTTCCACCTAGAACAAATGTTATTCTTGTTATTCCTCATGTTTCCTCCTTGGCCACTCAAACAAGGTCACATGATATCACTCTATTTATCATTTTTTAATTTATTTATGATTTATTAAGGTGGACATTTGGAGTTAGGTTGGAACCTTCCTGTCCAGCTGAGACATCAGTGAACACTTCCAGACGTCACATCTCTTCACACAGCCACTACGACACACCATGTTTTCATACCTTTTCTCACAGGTGTAGGTTCCATCATGAGAAGTCTGCACAGGTAGAAACCACAGTAGCCCAGCCTGGACCTCCACTCCACTGGGCAGGCTCACATTGTGCCCCCCTGCTCTGCTCCAGGTCACGTTGACGTGAGCATCAGCAAGGCGGCACCTCAGCAAGTAGAGGTGTCCGACACTCACATAGTGATTCTCTGCCTCCCCACTGTGGTCTGGATGGGATGGTGCAAAGGGAGACCAGTCATTTAAAAGCCTGATTTTTAATTGATTTAAAGCCTTTTAATAACAAATTGAATATTATGTTGAATGCTTTTATTTTTTTTCTCTGATGTTATCTTTCTTATTTTTTTTTTATCCCAATGTATTTAGTAATGAACTTTGTAACTCTTTTGTGTTGTAGGAAAAACTTTATTGTTGTTATCATCAGTAAAGTGATGACAGATTTACTCATAGCCCTTTTACACAGCCTTTATTCACATGTAGGTTAACGTTAAAGTTTAGAAAACATTATGCACTTCTTCCTTCTACATGTTATACGTCACCAAGCTGCTTTCAGCTGCTGTAGTTGTGTAGAAAATGAACCCTTGGTGTCAGGTGTCTCTCTCTTAATTAATAAAGGGGATTTTTATTGTGCAACCTGACAGCGGCTCAGTAATTTCCTTTTGAACACAAACCTGACCTCTTTCAGGAAAGGGACTTCCTGGAGACTCAACCATAAAAGTGTAGGTAAATATTTGACGTCTTTGACCTATTTAATCCACAGGAGGCTGCAGGTTGAAATGAACCGAATGACTGAACGAACATTTGAAACCTCATATCCGTCAGAAGGGGTTTATTATTCTTGATATGGACGCAGTGCGAGAGATTTTATTAGTGTGGCCAGATGTCTTCTTTCCCCACAATCATTCGGTGTAACAGTTATTCTGTCACTTCACTGTCACTGTCAGATATCAAAATGAGCAGTGGGAAAAATCGGCTCTCTCATTTAACAAGTGTAGCTGCAGTTAGTCAGAGATGTGCTGCTGTAGACAGGAGGTGTAAGTAACGTGCACGTCAGCTTGGACAAAGTCTGATTTATGAGTGTGCGCAATTTGGTATCATCTATCCGGTAAAAATGTAGTTTTTACAAAACCCATAACCTGATTAGAGAAACCAGGTTTCTCACTGAGCTTTAAGAAACCAGCTAACTAGAAAAAGTTGACCACAGCCTGACAACTTAAACAAATATTAATGTGCTGCATACAGATAAAGTAGAGCAGGAGATGTTGTTACTCATAAGTTTGCACTATGACGTCTCCTAAGAAGAAGAAGATATAGAAATGAATAATTTAGGCAATTCAGAATCAGAAGTACTGAAATATTGATCCCTATTATGAGGAATCGACTAGTTTCAGTTCAGTTTTTATTCAGTTTTAGTTTTACCATGTATTAAGAGAAAGCCTTGACTTGTAGAGGCTGAAAAAGGATGAAACAATGTGTGAGTCCTTTAATTTCATTCTTTAACCATCACGTAATTGTTGTTTTTATTTGAGTTAACTAAATTATTTTTTCATTGCTAGTTTTAGTTTTAGTTTTAGTCTTAGTTTTCATTAACTATAATAACCCTGGGCTCTAGTGATCTGTACTGACTGATTATTACTGTATATACATTCTGTCACTTACTAACAAGTTCAGGATGCATGGTAGTTAGGGAGAGCTTTGTTTTTTTTTTTTGTGGTTGAAAAACATGTGCTGTCAAGCTTTTGTGCTTGTTCGACAGGTTGCAAACAGGAAATGTCGGAATAATGTTGCCACACAGGCCATAATTTAACAAACTCTGCATAAATAAAGTCGTGTCTTATAAGCACTGCATCTCATATTACAGGTCAGCAGCCAAAATAGGCTTCAGCTTCACCTCTGCTTTAACCAACAGGTGTTTTCCTGTTGATTCTTTGAGTGGAACAACAGAGTCAGTAAAAAGTTATAAATGTTTGTTTGTTGTATAAATTCCCTGTAAAGCACCCAGTGTCTGATTTTTGCCATTTATTTCAAACAGCAGAGGTTGTAGTTGGTGTCAGAGGAAGAGTTGTGATGATCAGTACTCACTGTGCGCCGCAGAGAATGTCAGAGACAGCAGAGTAACCCACAAGCCGCAGACGCAGCCTGTCCTCGCCAGGACTCTCATCTTTAGAACTGGACAGTTTACATTTCATTAGATTCCTCTAAGATTTCCCACACATGACTCTTGTTGTCACACGCCAGCTTCCTTGTACACAAGCAGACGCCTGTAAAAGGGAACTGGGACATGCCTCCTTCCTATATACAAAGAAGGGAGGGCTGAATCTCTCTGTGATTTCCTAGGAAGTTCCGCGGCTTTGGTGAAAAAGGTCAAACACTTAGAGACGCTCTGTGTGTTGTTCTCTCTGGTTGTATCTGACGTCACCTGTGTTTATCTCTGTCTCAAGAACTTGGTGCAGAGGGTTCTGGGTTCAAATCCCCGTTTGCATGGGTTTTTTTATGGTTCTCCGGCTTCCGTTCAGATATCGGTTTTATGTGTTTCTTCCTCTAAAGTGGAACAAATTTAAGGTACTGAAAATCTCTATTCTGTATCACAGAGATGTTTTAAATCCCTCTGTAATGAAACTGAAGGAAAAAAGCTTTTCTTGGAGTTTAATTCAACACGTAGATGTTGAGACCGAAATGGCCCTGTATTTACACAATCTGCTGCCGGAAAACTACAAATGGAAGGGATTACTATATCCTGTATCTAATTACTATATAAACACCTGAGTCAATATGATACTAAAACCAAAACTGAATTTAACTAATAATCACAGTGTATAGAAAAAAAACAGAATAATAATTTCAACTCACCCTGCATGACGTCACAGAGTACAATTCTTTAAATGATAATAAATAAAGGGAATGATGATAATTTACCAGGTTGAGAGTTGGTGAAGACGGCTGCTAGTCAAGTTGCATTCAGATTCTGAGGAGCTGCGTGGTTTCCCCTCCTTGTGTCTTCACAGAGTTTTATACTCTCCCACTGACACTAAAATCAAATAAAACGGAAAAAACTACCGCTCATTCTGTACGTGCAGCAAAACGATTCACCCCCAGCTTATTTCAATGTAGGGCAGCTGACCTCAATCGCTTCAGATATGAAAGTGACAGCATATTGTCAGGCTGCACTTAAAACCCCTTTGTTTTCCTCCATGAGCACCTTGACTTGTAAGATACGACTTTAACATGTACTTCTTCATGAAAACAGATCATATTTTAGGACAGCTTCCTTCAGTATAATTTTAAAAAGCAGAGAAGTCAATTAAAATGAAGACAGGAACAGAAAAATACCTGGATCTGCCCCTGATCCAGATGTGAAACACACGTAATCAGCTTCGTGACCCATAACACATCCTCCCCAAGTGTTTCATAAGAATACCTGAAAATGTTCATCATTAGATAAAATGTCTGCATATGATACTTTCTCCACATTTTTAATGAGAACCTTGTGTTGTGCCTTGATGCAAGAAAACAAAGAAATTACACGTCATGAAAAATTCACAGTTGATTTCTTTTTTTACATATTTCATTTTACATATGTACATTTCACTTTTATACATGATGATCGTGTTTGATCAGTACTTCTTTATCCAGGTTATTCTTCAGTCTCCAGCTGCTTTGGAATATAAACAGTTCTTCTGTTGCAGGCAAACAAAGGAGCATCCAGACTGGAATCCTCCACAGACGCTTTACGATCCAACTATGAAAAGGTACGTGAGCTGAAGGAAAGCAGCATCGTGTGCTCCGGAGTGTTCACCTCACACCTTCTGGTGACAACACAGTTTTATCATGAGCCCATCATAAGTTCAACAGGGTGGTTTTCTTGGGGTGGGCCGCCCTCTTGCCCCTCACTGGCATATTATACATAATCTCCTTCCAAAACCTGGAGGACGGAGAGAGGGACGGGGACATCTTTGCGTCCTGTTCACCCTTCTCCTCATCCTTTCTCCTCGTCATACATGTCCTCCTCCTTTGCCTCGTCCTCTGCTCCTTCCACCAACACACGGCGCCCTGCTTCTTCCTCAGGTGTCGCACCGACTCCGGGAAGAGAGCCAGCTGAGCTGGGGTGATCTCTTCCAACTCAACCAGAACCACCTGTAAAGCAGCGGCTCAAATGAATATGTTTTTGACAACATTGGGACAGAAGAACTCCACATCAAGGTGACATATTGTTTCTGCCTCAGGTTGTCGGCTAAAACGTTGTTTAAGTTAAAACAGCATGGCTGTAGGATGTGGCCTCAGATTGAGATCAGGCTGGACCTGGTTGTATTAAAACCTTTCCTCTATGCAGGAATTACATTTGTGGAGGTAAAACTTTAATCCGCTGTCAACAATCACATCTGTTTTCTCACCTTGAGCGATCCCTCCATTAGCGTTTTGTGTACTGCTAGCAGCAAATCCAAATTCTGCCTCGTGTCTGGATAGAGTTCCTCACTTTCGCTCCCTCCGTCGTCGGTCTTCGTTTCGCCGTTGTCTTTGCTGTTGTTGTTCTTAGAGAGGTTGTTATTGTTGCTGCTCGTGCTGCTTGTGTGTCTTTTGCTGGTGAAAGTGGAGGCTGTGTAGAGCAGGAGGAGGCGCCGGCTGGCTTGTATATTGTCCTCCACTGCGTCAATTATGGCTGGAGGGAGGAAACGAGAAGATGGAGAGAAATGTTGGACTTCCAATATAGAAAAAAACAAATATAAACCAATGTGCTGCTGTGCCCTGGGCTCCATCTAGGAGACAAGTAATAAAGTGACTTACCCTGCCCGGGGACACAGTCACGGCCTGCTATGAAGAGTTTGTAGCCACAGGCCTTTTCCAACACTTGTGGCAGAATGTGGAGAGCAAACGTCTCCACCTCCTCGCTGAATCCGATGGCACAGGACTGCGGGTATGACACGTAGGCGTCGTACAGCCTCCCATCCATATCTGACACGGGGGAGAAGAAGAGCTTATCAAGCGGATACATCACAACTCATTCTAGACGAGTCTGAAGTCACAAGCTGCTATTTTCTTACATCTTGCAGGTTGTAATTGATGCAAATCTATTTATCTATCGAATCATCATGATGTGTTTTCTACAAAATGCACGATTCAAATCACACAACTCCAAAACACATGTTGTTAGATGTCTTCGCCTCTTAACCTGATTTTAACATTGGTTTCACTTTTAACTATTCACTCGTGTGTGTGTGTGTCTAGAAACAATGAAATACTTTGTATTATAATTTGTATTATTTCTTGAAGTTTGGGTCTGTTGTCTTGTTCCGTTATCATTACAGACCCAGCTGGAGGAAGAAAGTCAACCAAAGACTCTGCACACTGTTCCATCTGCTCCTCCTCCTAAACTCCTGTAACCCCATCTATCTATCTATCTATCTATCTATCTATCTATCTATCTATCTATCTATCTATCTATCTATCTATCTATCTATCTATCTATCTATCTATCTATCTAT